TTGCTATTTTTTGTATTTGAGACCCTGTAGTTAGGCAGGGTACCTGCAAGCCAGAGAACCTCATTAGCTGCCACCAGCTGCATCTTGTACTGTGGTATTTTAGGGCAGCTGGGGAGATGGAGGGATTTGCTGCAGAGAGCTGCACTACGGTTGTTCAGCGGGTGAATCGTGAGTGCTTTGGCCGTCTACCTATTAGTTATGGATCAGACCTTAAAATAACTCCGAGAGCCATGCTAATGCCAACACCAATGAATCAGAACTCTGAGATCCACAAGGGATTTTCCAAAAAATACTGTGTAGCATTGGAGGGTAGAATGCAGCTTTACATCACTGCTTTGACTTGAAGACAGAAACTTGGAACTGGTGGAATGATTTAAAAGGAGCATCCAAATCTGCTGATTGAATACCAGAGACTGGAATCTACATCTCTCTGGTGTTTGTTGGGGGTTTTTTGAGCTGTTAGCTGCATTTTCTGGGAAGGAGGATGTTACAAGGAAAATGGGACTTCACAGGGTTTAGTGATTTTAAGTCTTTAACTGGCACATGGTCAGAGATTAGTACTTCATGATTCGTTAAACAGTACAGAAGAGTCTCTATATTGTTAGTGATACAATGTTGTAGCGTGTTGTGTTACCAAAGCATTAATGCACCAAAATCTGAGTTGGTGGGTAGCCTTTTCCCCTGTTTACTGAGTTGTATTCCTTGTGTGGTATCAGTGGATGCCATTCTTAGTGTGATTTCTGTGGATCTCAACACTGCAACAGATATTTCTGCTTATGAAGGTATGAAACTTGTAAGAGCTCAAGGGAAAAGCAACTGAAACAGGTGTAATTTTCCCTTAACCATAGAGTAGGATCAAGAACTTGACAAAGACCTTATACAAACCCTTTCTTCAGAAGTTTGTTCCTTTAGCAATTAAAGTAGATTGCATACTAAAAAGACTTCAGTCTCTTCAAGCAAAATCTAGTGCTCTGGGGTCAAACCTACTAGAAATACTTAAAACAGAAAGAAAGCTAGTTTGGTGGATCTGCAAGCATGTGTTATGTTCACTTGTTCTTATTGGATAGGTAGATTTAACTTTCTTAATTCTCAGCATTCAAGGCAGATTTCAGTGGATATTACAAAATTATTCACTGTCGAAATTCTCTTGTTGCGGTAGAAGAGCAAGTTCAGGGTGTGTCTGGAATGTATGGTTCTGATTTCAGTGGTGAATGAATTATTGCTCAGTTTCATCTGTTGCAACCTTCAGCTTGCAGAAAGAACATTTCCATTCAGTAGTCTGTCTGCTTAGCAAAGAATTTTTTCTCGATTTGTGAGTGAATGCAGGGGCATTAAATAGGTTTTGGTGGGACTCAGTGGTGCCAAGAGAATAAGGCTTTAGTGCCACCTGATTTTAAATACGATTTTCAGCCATAATTGGATAATTGTATGTCAGTTGAAGCACAGCTTGCTTTTACATTAGGACAAACCACAACTTAGGAAGGTATTGATGTTCTGGAAGGCTTCAGGTGTGTGTGTGTTGGTGCAATTTCTAAAATATAAAATTCTTAAAACTGAACGTTTTCCTGTAATCTTTTTTCGTTGGTGGTGCTTTTTTTTTTTTTCCTGAAGGAAGTGTGGCAGTGAGGGTAAAGGTTACGTAGGGCTGGAAAGAGCTTTCCTGAAAACTTGATGCCTCCTAGTTACCAATCCCACCCTTTTTCTCCTCTCTCCATTCTCCCTGTGAAGAAAGGACGAGGCTGAGGGAAAGGTGTGCCATAACTTTATATTATGTTGGAGGGGTGTTGTTGGTGGAAAAAAACAAAGAGAAAGCAAAATAAAACCCAGGAAAGACAAGCGATGAAAACAGTTGTTTACAACCAACTGATCAATGTCCAACCAGTCCTCAAGCATACCCCCACAACTTCCTCCTAGTTTTATTACTGAGCATGACATCATATGGTGTGGAATATCCCTTTGGTCAGTTGGGGTCAGCTGTCCCAGCTGTGTCCCCTCCCAATGTTATCTGCACCTCCAGCCTACTTGCTGATGGGTGGTGTGAGAAGCAGAGAAGACCTTGGCACTGTGTAAGAACTGTTCATCAGGAACTGAAACATACCTGTGTTATCAACACTGTTGCTAGCACAGATCCAAAGCTTAGGCCCATACGAGCTACTGCGAAGAAAATGAACTCTGTCCCAGCCAAAACCAGCACAGGCAGCCAATACAAATGTAAATACATTTCACTTTGTTGATCAATTTTAAAACAGTATGCATTGTAGTTTGACATCCTTACTGAAATTCCTGTACTTGAAGGTTCTGGCATCGGGTGATACAGCCCTAGTTTGTACCACTCAGCTGTTCCTGAACCATCAGTGAATCAGGAGTGTTGGGACTATAGCTGTTTGTACAGTTCACGTTTTAATGAAGGCAGAAAAAGGTTTATGTAGCAATTATCTTTTGGGAAGTCTCATTATTGCTGAATTTTCCTGATTCCTGGTTTTGTATGGAACATGTGGGAAAGATTCAGTATGAAGTTCTGCCTACACAACAGGTTAGCTAATTAGACACAAGTAAAATGTTGCTGCTGTCACCTTTTGCAGACCTCCTATCCCACACTGAGATAAAATCAAGTTATATTAGCTATGGTAGAAAGTTGCTGCTCACTTTCCTGTTTTATAACAGCAGGGATTTTCAAAATGTCAGTTAAGTTTCTTGTGGATAAGTAAGCTGACTTGACAGCATTTCTTGGGACTTGACATGGCATTTCTTGGGATGTGGCTTTCTCTGGTCCTGCTTCCAACACCCAAGTGACACAGTTTTCATATGATGCATTCAGCCTGGACTGCTTAGAAGTCTGTGTTATTTTCAAGTCTTCTGAATTAATTTTGCATGTATCAATATTGATATTCAAGGTAGTTCTAAAGTGAAATGTGACCGCACCTGCTGAGTGACTCCCAGGCTGGTGGATCCTTGAAATGCCCTGTTAGCTGGAGACTTGCAGAGGCTCCCATGCTGTGTTCAGGCACACATGACTGAAATTAATTGACACAGAAATTATTTGTCACAAAGTCGATGACAGCAACAAGAAGCCATGCAGTTGGCAACAGAGGCAGTGTGCTGCTGGCATCCAAACTTTTTTTGTTGTTCGTTGGTTTTACTCACCCTGTGAGGATTATCCAAACTTTTTTTGTTCGTTGGTTTTACTCACCCTGTGAGGATGGTGTAACTGGTTAACTTCTAATGTGTTGCTTTCCCAAAGATGAATATGATACTGGAGTAAATAACATCCACTAGTCATGGGTCAAAGTTATGGCTTAGTTTGGGGGGAGGGGAAGTAGTAAGAGTAGGAGTAGCTGGTGTTGCATGATTTTAGACAAATGTTTTTTTGGGAACTCGTTGTTAGACCTGGATGACTGCTAGTGCAACTTGGGACCCTCAGGAGGTACAGCCATTCTTAGTACAGGGTAATCACATAGCTTTAACCATCGAGAATTAAGCAATTAGCTGTCTCAATCTTAATTATGAAAGTGCTGCTCCAGCATATCACTCAAGGCCATGCACATGATTCTTTTTTACTTGCTTGCATGTCTACCTGTGTCTTGTGTACATTCAGTAAGAGTATTTTTTATACTTTTCCGCAACAAAACCTGAAGCTAAGGATTTATTTGAGGGAGGGAGGAATAAACAAAAGTGATTTGGCCAGATAACTGTGTGAATGTATTGTGAAAAATGCGGTGGGATAAAATTATTAGAAAAACCTTGTGTTCAAAAATATTTTCCAATACTAAAAATATTGTTGCAGTTTCAGTATCTTAGCTGCAAAGAAAAAAAATAAATCCGTACCCTGACAGTTGTGTTTCTGAATTCATACTCTTGGCAAGAATTTATTATTTTTAGAGAAGAATAATATGTAACTTATGAAGTTTCATTTTTATTAACAATTTATAATGGTAGAATTGCATTTTATGCAAATATTAAGGTTTGGATCTAATGGGGTGAATCTTTCACATGGCAAATGGTCAGTCTGCCTAAAGGCTGAAGCAAGAGTGAATGACTTTTTCATTTTTATTTGATGTGGCTTCTGGGAGATAAATGGAAGTGACTGTGGTCGTTCCAAACTGGTCTGGCCTGTAGTTGTCTATTAGGAAATATAATGTCAATATGAATTGCCTGATTTTTTTTGCAATCCTAAATATTGGGGCACAAAGTTGACAAGATTTGAAATATTGATGATAGTTTGGAGGATGTATTGAAACATTTTAATGACCAAAAAAATGTAGTAGAATTAAAAATATCAAGGAGTTTGGTTTTTAAGGTTTGGGGAATTTTGTTTATAAAAATAGCTTTAAAAGTCAGCATTCGTCAGCTGTTAAATGCCTAATTCATTTAGATACTAACTTTGAAATATGACAAACTTCAAGAAAACTTTGTAGCTCTGTGTTTATGACTTGAAAGTGTTTAGGAGAAAAAAATAAAAGAATATTAGAGACTCGGATTTCTTCTGTGTGCCACTGTTGACTTGATAGTTGGAGCTGACACAAGTTTCAGTACTTAGGGGATTGCTCCCCAGTGGACAGAATATCAACTTTTGTCCAATTGTATTTTCTGCTTGGATTTGTTTCTCCTTTGTCTCTTTGCTGCCCAGCACCCATCCCTGACAATTCTTTCATGAGAGACCAGGGGAAGAGCTTGTTAACGTACCTAAATAGGTAACTGCTGCTACCAGTGCATACAGGAGGTGTTATGAGAAGTCCTGGGTAGAGGGGGAGAAATTCAGGCAAAGCAGATTGCAGTGGGCAAAGGTGCTGAGGATAAGTATAGAAGATGCAGTGGTATCTTCAGGGATGGCCTAGAAAGGGGGATGGAGATGAGGAAAGATGAGAAGAGGGCTATGGGCAGCCTGGAGAGATCTCTGAATCCCTGATGGTGTGGGAAGAGCAGTTGGGACAAACTTCAGAAGGATATTTGTTGGGACTGGAGGAAATGTAGAACAAAAATGTTTGGTGGGTCTCCGTGAAATGGAGATTCATAGTGAGGGTGGTGAGGAACAAGCAGATCCTCAAGTGAGATGAAAAGGGCTGGAGCCAGACATGAGTGAGAAATGAGGGCCACAGTCAAGCCCCACTGAAGCTGAGGTTCTTCCCCCAGACAAGTTTCAGGGCCAAACAAGGGAAGTGTTAGCCTGTAACCTTTTTCTCTTACATGATTTTTAAGACTTGAGTTTTATTTCTAACTTCTGCTAAATTTAGAAATATATCCTTTTTAAAAATGTAAATTTTCATCCATCTCCAGACCTGTGTGTTTCTTTTCTCTGTTATTTGTTTTTGTTGCCATACTTTTTTTCTCAGTGTTTGCTTCAGTCTCTTCAGTACTACTTGTTCACATTGCAGTAGTACCAAAAATACCTTGTTTGAAAGGCTGGATGTCTCTTCTCAGGTAAGTTTCTTACACTGCTTCAAGTCATTACCCTTACCATCAATTCTGAAGCTGTTATTTCTGAGTATTACTTTGTCAGTCAGTATTAAAATATTCACAAGCCACATATATCTGGCAATACACTATGCACGCTTATTGTATAAAACCAAAGCAAGGGGCTGAAGAGGCCTTCCTCATATTTGTAAAGCAGCTTGTAATATGAAAATCTCTCCGTAGGAGTCTATTTACTGGGAAAATATGGACAGAAGAAAATCAGAGAAATCCAAGAACGAGAGGCAGCTGAATACATCGCCCAAGCACGAAGGCAGTATCATTTTGAAAGTAATCAGAGGACATGCAATATGACGGGTAAGATAAGGAAATAGCTGCTGTTCTTGGCAGGTGAAATTATTTGGGGTTTTATACTACATATTGATAGGATAGAAGAAGAATATGAAATGTAGATGAATTCAAAATCTTAATTAAATACTAGTGCATAAATAACATAATTTTGCATAATAACAATAAAATCTGAAGAGCAGAAGATTGAAGAGATTTCTAGGGGTCATCTTAACCCTTGGTTTGAATTGATCCATCTATCATGCAAACAAATATACATTCAGGTTACAGTTTTTTGTCACTGCAAGACCCTTTGTGGGTCTTAAACTGCATGTGGTATCGAGGTGTGAAACAGCACCCAAATTCAAACAATACTGAATTTACAGCAGGATTGTTTTATGCGTTATAGCCCATTGTTAGTAAGCTGCACAGAGAGTTTGGTAAGAAATTAGTATTTTTAAATAAG